CAAACTCCTCCTTTTTGGGATGTGGGAAAACACTCCCCAGACCCTGTGAATGTTTCCCTCCAGCCTGGTCCGGTCCCAAAAACTCTCCTTAGAGACTCTGGTCAGAGAAGAGGGTCCATCTCTGCTCTTGTGTCCCTGAAATGCCCACTCCCGCAGGCACCTCCCCACTGGGTTTGCCCAGACCCAAGGGATGCAGGGATGGAGGGGATGGGATAGCAGGGAAGGGGCTGAGCACAGAGTACCCAGTAGAGGACACGGAGCTAGGAGGAGCTCACAGAGACTCACCCAGTTCTGCATCTCGTTTCCCTGGAAAGGAAAAAACAAAATCAATGAGTGATGAGAGGGGACAGCTTCTCACCCCTTCATGCAAGCAGGAAGAGCTTGGGCTGAGTGCAAACTGCTTATATTTGGGGAGTGGGAAAAGTCTCGTCTCCTTGGCTCCTGGTGGGATAGGGGGCTCCCTGCCCTCCTATCCCCACCCCACCCACCCAGGCACTCTGCCGTTATCCCTGACTTAAACAGAGACTTAAGGATCAGCCTGATTTAAACTCATTCAGTACACATCTCCGCTTCTTCCCATGAGCCAGGACACCTCCTGTGCCCAGTTCACAACCCAGGGCTCTCCAGTCCCCTTCTGGGCTCCAGAAACCAACATCAGTGACCAGAGAAACAGCAAGAACCATCCAAAGCCACCTCCCTCCCAGGGGGATCCTTTCTCAGGAGGCTTTGCTGGTGGCAGGGACCAGAAGGACTCACCCAGAGCTCTGGACTGCACCACTGGATAGCAAAGGCAGAGGAAGAGAAGGTCAGGAGAGAAGCTGCTTCACCCCTGGGACCATCCCCTCAGGGTCTCTTGGATCTTCCCGCCAGCCAGATGCTCTGCCCATGCTCCCTATTCTCCCACCCACATGCTGTGTCCTTGTCCCCATCCTTCCTTTGCCCAAAGAGCTTCTTTAACGAAGGCAAAACCTGTTCTGACACAACTCTGATGTTGTTCTGCGTACATCCAGACCTCACTCAACCCTGAGCCCCCACAACAAACTCACCTTTAATTCGGAAGAGATAAACAATGACACCAAAACACATCACTAAAAGTAAGAGGAGCACACCCAGAGCTGCCATCCAGGGACGGGCATTGTGGAAAAAGGGAGCTGAGAAACAGACAAACACCAGGAAATGGCCTCATTTTACATTCCCTTGTGTGAGGAGAAGAAAAAACCCAAAGCAACCACAAGCTTCCAATTCCTCAAGTCTTGTGCCAGGAGCCCTGGGCTCAAGGGGACATCCTCCTCCCCATCCCATGGACATGCCATTGCTCCCCTGAAGCACACCAGGGTCACGTTACCTCCTGCAATAAAACTCACCTGTGGGTGCAGCCCATTCCCCTTTCCCACTCCCCACATGTTTCTCCAGCCCCCCAAGATTAAACCCCCCCAAACAGCGTGGCCAACCCCAGCCCTGCTCCCACCCCGTACCTGAGATGTGCAGGGACGACGCCTGCTCCTGATCCAGGCGGCTGTTCCTCACCACGCATGACACGTTCCCATTTTCCTTCCCTCTCACAATGACGACATCTTGGATCTCAAAAAGGCCCCTCTCATCAGGGGAACGTCTCTGGGAGACTGAGGGGAGATGCTGCCCCTCGCCATCCTTCCACAGCACCTGCGGTGACGGGTACCAGCCGGCCGATCGACACACCACCCGGATGCCTCCATCCTCGTAAGCCTCCAGAGAGAGGAGAGGGACAGAGCCCATGGCTGGGGGAAGAGCCCAGGGTTGCCCTGAGTTAGGGATGGACCCAGCTCAAAGGCCATGACCCAAGCCCATGCCAGACACATCACAGGATTCTCAGGGAGCTGTGGGGCTGGCCACGTGCTTCTCACACCACCAAACCCACCCCAACATCTGCAGGAACCAGAGAGCCCTGATGCCAAATGACCTCAGATCTCCCAAAAAACAGCCCAGCAGAGGAGCATTCAGCAGCTGCACTTCAGTGCCTCAAGGCAGGGTCTCTGCACCAACACTGCACCACAAGGACACCACAGAGAGCTAAAGCCACTGTGTCTGTTCTTCTTTGCCCCAAAAACACCTCCAGGACCACGTGCATGCTCCGTCCTGGGCAGAGACAGATGGGAAGAGACCCCTCGCACCCAAACAGCTTTCAACAGCTCCTGGCCTTCAGCACTGAATGGATGGATGTCTCTCCTGGAGAGACACAGCAACCCAGGGACACCTGGAACATCCCCCACAAAACACCAAAGCAGCCACAAACCTGCCACCTCCAGGTCCACTGTAGCTTCTCCATAAGCGGCAGCATCTTGCACAGTGCAGACGTACTGGCCATCATCAGACGGTCTCAACTCAGAGATTCGTAAGTCCAGGCTCCCACTGGAGAGGCCATCTCTGGCCAACTCTGTCCTTCCAATGTATTCCTCCATCTGTGCTCCATCAAGGTCCTCTCCGTTTCGGTAGAGGTGCATCGTTTCAGAGAACTGGTGCCTGATCCACCTGATCTCCAAGCTCCGAGCATCCATGCGTGGAGACAAGTGACATGGCAGCACGACATCCTGCCCCACGGTGGCAAGGAGAGGTCGGCTTGGCCCCACCACTCTGAAGTCCGCTGGGTGACAGAGAAGGACACAGAGGGATGGAGATCGCACCCAGGTTAATTTACAGGCATCGCATGGGAAGGGGCCAACTTGGTGTGAGCAGTGCCCACTCCTTCCTGCAGGTGTTGCTTTGCCCTCCCCATGGCCCAAAGACCCTGGAGAAACTGGAGAGGGAGCAGGACTTGAAGGAGAAGGAGGTTTCCTGAGGGTGGGAACTTCTCCAGAAAATCATGATCCCCCACCCCAGCCCAGCCAGGCCCGGTAGAAGGGACAAAAGCTTTGGGGGAGCACCGCAGGATGGGACTGAAGATGTCCCAGGGCAATGGACATATTGCATCACGAGACCAAGGAAAAGTGACAGCCATCTGCAGCCGAGCCCTGGGCTCTGCTCCTCCTGACCCACAGCACCTCTCCTGAGCAACATCTGCCACCCAGAGCACGCTCAGCCCCCCAGCCCTGCAGGATCCCTACCTGATCCCAGCCGCAGGAGGTGGAGAGTCAGGAAAGGACTGAGGAGGACCCATGGGCTTGAGGGGAACCCCATCTGTGGCCGGAACTGGAGAAGAGGATGGGAAGGGAGGCAGAGGGAGGGCGAGGGGGGGTTACAGCCGCCACAGAGGGGATGGGGAAGAAGGGCTGAGGAGGCCCCATGGGCTCGCGGGGAACCCCATCTGTGGCCAGAGCTGGAGAAGAAGGTGGGAAGGACAAGGGGGGTTACAGCCGCCGCTGAGGGGATGGTTAGGAAGGGCTGCACATGCCCCCAACACCACTCCAGAAATCCCACCATGCCACCTGCACCCTGACGTCTGAATGAACCCTTGGTCAAGGGCAGGACAGGATCCCCACATGGCTCCTGGTGCTGCCCCTGCTCTGCCCCACTGCCCTCCCCAGGATTTACTCTATGTCCCTTACAAGATTTTAAGTGATATTAAATATTGTACATTTCTTACAGAAAGGAAATTCACTCACCGGACCCATACAAGCTGCAGGAGGAAGCAGACAACAGGATATACACAGGGTTTCACACTTCCCCTCGCTTTCCGGATGCACACGTTGGGGGTTTTGGGGCTACCTTCAAACTCCACCCCCAGTGCTTGAAAACATTAAGGAGCAGAAAAAAAGTGAAAAAGGGGAAGAAGGAAAATTAGGTCCATTTGGCTGCGAGAAGGTTAAGGTTAATTTAGAGCTTGGTTGTGATTTTTGGACCTGGTGGAGGAGCCCAGCAGTGTCTCTGCAGCCCCACAGCAGCCGGGAGCTAGTGGGGAGCCAGGGATGAGGGGAAGGTAGGTTTGGGGGACTTTGAGTGTCGAGACACCCAGCTGTGCCCTGTCCCTCTGCCCTGTCAACTTGGAGGCCTCAGAATTCCCGGGGAGGACGTGTCCCCTGCTGTCCCCAATGTCCCATCCACCTCCATACACAAAAGAAGGCCTGCGGGGGGGTGCCCAGCCCCAGTTCAGCTCCTAGCTGTGGAGCAGCAGCAGTGAATCACCATTGTAATAAATCCATCTAAAATAGCTGCAGGATGGGAAATTCCCTTCCACGGTCATACGTTTCCTCTTCTGCTGCAACTAAAGGTACTCTGGGACAAAGATGCTCCCACTCATGGACCCAATAATCCCCCATATAAGCAAAAAAAAATACAGCTGCCTTCACCCAGTGCCCAACTGGGAAGGGAATTGGGTACAGAAAAAAACAGTTTTCTTAAGAAAAGCAGCATGCGGCACAGGAGGATGCTCACGGTGTCAGGCAGAGCCCAGGGGATGCAAGGTGTTCCAAGGGGTTGCAAGAGGTTCCAGGGGGGTCCAAGATGGGTTCCTGGGGGCTGAAGGGGTTGCAAGGGGATCTGAGGGGATACAAGGGGTTCAAGGTATTCCAAGCGGGGTTCTGAGTGCTACCGAGGGGATCCAAAAAGATCCAAGAAATACCAAAGGATTGGAGGGAATTGGAGTGGGTTCTGAGTGGAATCTGAGGGGATCCAAGAGGTGCCAAGGGGTTCCAAGGAGTTTCAAGGGGATCCAAAAAGATGCAAGAGGTTCAAGGAATCCAAGGGATCCAAGGGGATTGAAGAGGGTCAGAGGGGATCCAAGAGGTTCCAGGAGGAACTCAAGAAGCTCTAAGGGGTTCCATGGGACTTCCAAGAGGTTCCAAGGGGATCCTGGAGGGTCCATGACGAGAAGAACCACCCATAAAAGAACATAAAATAAATTATAAAATTCCACATTTCCTGCATTCTCAAGAGGCAAAAACTTTCTCCAATCTACAAGGAAAGACAAGAGCCAGTCACATCCCATGGCTGGTCCCCAGTGGCTCTGGGAAGAGGAAAGGGTCCATCCCTGGTCTGGAGATCTCAAGCTGCTCATCCCCCTGGGCACATCCCCTTGCAGTTTCCCTGGATCCAGGGGATGCAGGGATGGAGAGGACAGGCAAGAGGGGAAGGGGCCGAGTACAGAGAGACCAGGAGAGGACACTGATGTGGAGGAGCTCACAGAGACTTACCCAGTGCTGCTTTTTGTTGCTCTGGAAAGGAAAAACAGAAGCAATGAGTGATAAGAGGGGACAGCTTCACTCCCATGGTGCAAGCAGGGAGAGTCTGGACTGACCCCAAACTCCTTATGTTTGGGGATTGGGAAAAGTCTTGACTTCTTAGGTTAGGGGGCTCCCTGCCCTCCTATCCCCACCCCACCCACCCAGGCACTCCGCAGTTACATCTGACTTAAGCAGAGATTTAAGGCTCAGCCTGATTTAAGCTCACTCAGTGCTCATCTCTGCTTCTTCCCATGAGCCAGGACACCTCCTGTGCCCAGTTCACAACCCAGGGCTCTCCAGTCCCCTTCTGGGCTCCAGAAACCAACATCAGTGACCAGAGAAACAGCAAGAACCATCCAAAGCCACCTCCCTCCCAGGGGGCTCCTTTCTCAGGAGGCCTTGCTGGTGGCAGGGACCAGAAGGACTCACCCAGCGCTCGGGACTGCACCACTGGATAGCAAAGGCAGAGGAGGAGGAGGTCAGGAGAGAAGCTGCTTCATCACTGGGACCATTTCCAAAGGGTCTCTTCGACCTTCCCACCAGCCACATGCTCTGCCCATGCTCTCATCTCCTCCCACCCACACCCCATGTCCTCGTCCCCATCCTTCCTTTGCACAAAGAGCTTCCTTAATGAAGGCAAAACCTGTTCTGACACAACTCTGATGTTGTTCTGCGTACATCCATTGGCCTCACTCAACCCTGAGCCCCCACAACAAACTCACCTTTCCTTCGGAAGAGATAAGCAATGACACCAAAACAGATCACTGAAAGCAAGAGGAACACACCCAGAGCTGCCATCCAGGGACGGGCATTGTGGAAAAAGGGAGCTGAGAAACAGACAAACACCAGGAAATGGCCTCATTTTACATTCCCTTGTGTGAGGAGAAGAAAAAACCCAAAGCAACCGCAAGCTTCCAATTCCTCAAGTCTTGTGCCAGGAGCCCTGGGCTCAAGGGGACATCCTCCTCCCCATCCCATGGACAACCCAATGCTCCCCTGAAGCACACCAAACTCAAGTTATCTCCTGCACTAAAACCCACTTGCAGGTGCAACCCCTCCCCTTCCCTCACCCCCTGCAGGTTTTTCCAGCCCCATAAGATCAAACCCCTTCAAGCAGCATGGACAACCCCAGCCCTGCTGCCATCCTGTACCTGAGATGTGCAGGATCGACACCTGCTCCTGCTCCAGGCGGTTGTTCCTCACCACGCATGACACGTTTCCATTTTCCTTCCCTCTCACAATGACGACATCTTGGATCTCAAAGAGGCCCCTCTCATCAGGGGAATGTCTCTGGGAGACCGAGGGGAGATGCTGCCCATTGTCATCCTTCCACAGCACGTGCGGTGACGGGTACCAGCCGGCCGATCGACACACCACCCGGATGCCTCCATCCTCGTACGCCTCCAGAGAGAGGAGAGGGACAGAGCCCAAGGCTGGGGGAAGAGCCCGGGGTTGCCCTGAGTTAGGGATGGACCCAGCTCAAAAGCTAAGACCAACCCCAGGCCAGAACCATCCCAGGGTGCTCAGGGGGCTGTGGGGCTGGCCATGTACTCTTCACCAAACGCATCCCAACATCTGCAGGAACCAGAGACCACTGATGCCAAATGACCCCAGATCTCCCATAAAACAGCCTGGCAGAAGAGCACCAAGCGGCCAAGGTTTGGCACCTCAAGGGAGGGTCTCTGCATGAACATAGCATCACGAGGACACCACAGAGACCCAAAGCCATCGTATCTGTGCTCCTCTGCCCCCAAAACACCTCCAGCACCACATGAGTGCTCCATTCAGGCCAGGGACGGATGGGAAGATCCCCCTCACATCTGACCTCTTTCCACATCTCCTGGCCTTTGGCAACAAATGAATGGACCTGAGGATGGGACACAGCTCTGGGAGGGACACACCAACCCACAGACATCTGGAATGTGCCCAGGACACACCACAGCAGCCACAAACCTGCCACCTCCAACTCCACCATAGCTTCTGCATAGGTGCCAGCATCTTGCACAGTGCAGACATACTGGCCATCATCAGATGGTCTCAACTCAGAGATTTGCAAGTCCAGGCTCCCACCGGAGAGGCCATCTCTGGCCAACTCTGTCCTTCCAATGTATTCCTCCATCTGTGCTTTGTGCAGGTCCTCTCCATTTCGGTAGAGGTGCACCGTTTCAGAAAGCTGGTGCCGAATCCACCTGATCTCCAAGCTCCGAGCGTCCATGCGTGGAGACAAGTGACACGGCAGCACGACATCCTGCCCCACGGTGGCAAGGAGAGGTCGGCTTGGCCCCACCACTCTGAAGTCCGCTGGGTGACAGAGAAGGACACAGAGGGATGGAGATCGCACCCAGGTTAATTTACGAGCATCGCATGGGAAGGGGCCAGCTTGGTGTGAGCAGTGCCCACTCCTTCCTGCAGGTGTTGCTTTGCCCTCCCCATGGCCCAAAGACTCTGGAGAAAACTGGAGAGGGAGAGGGAAGACTTGGAGGAGAAGGAGGTTTCCTGGGGGTGAGAACCTGCTCCAGAAAACCATGACCCCCCAGCCCAAAAATGACCCCCACCCAAACTCAGCCAGCCCTGGTAGAAGGGACAAAGGCTTTGGGGGACACTGCAGGCTGGGACTGAATATTTCCCAGGGCAATGGACATGTGACATCATGAGACCAAGGGAAAGTGACAGCCATGCGTGGCCAAGCTCTGGGCTCACCTCCTCCTGCCCCATAGCAGCTCCCCTGACCCACACCTGCCACACGGAGAACACACAGCCCCCGCCCCCCCGCCCCCCCAGCCCTGCAGGATCCCTACCTGATCCCAGCTGGAGGAGGTGGAGTGTCAGGAAATGACTGACGAGGCTCCATGGGCTTGCCAGGAACCCCATCTGGGTGTGAGCAGTGCCCACTCCTTCCTGCAGGTGTTGCTTTGCCCTCCCCATGGCCCAAAGACCCTGGAGAAACTGGAGAGGGAGCAGGACTTGAAGGAGAAGGAGGTTTCCTGAGGGTGGGAACTTCTCCAGAAAATCATGATCCCCCACCCCAGCCCAGCCAGGCCCGGTAGAAGGGACAAAAGCTTTGGGGGAGCACCGCAGGATGGGACTGAAGATGTCCCAGGGCAATGGACATATTGCATCACGAGACCAAGGAAAAGTGACAGCCATCTGCAGCCGAGCCCTGGGCTCTGCTCCTCCTGACCCACAGCACCTCTCCTGAGCAACATCTGCCACCCAGAGCACGCTCAGCCCCCCAGCCCTGCAGGATCCCTACCTGATCCCAGCCGCAGGAGGTGGAGAGTCAGGAAAGGACTGAGGAGGACCCATGGGCTTGAGGGGAACCCCATCTGTGGCCGGAACTGGAGAAGAGGATGGGAAGGGAGGCAGAGGGAGGGCGAGGGGGGGTTACAGCCGCCACAGAGGGGATGGGGAAGAAGGGCTGAGGAGGCCCCATGGGCTCGCGGGGAACCCCATCTGTGGCCAGAGCTGGAGAAGAAGGTGGGAAGGACAAGGGGGGTTACAGCCGCCGCTGAGGGGATGGTTAGGAAGGGCTGCACATGCCCCCAACACCACTCCAGAAATCCCACCATGCCACCTGCACCCTGACGTCTGAATGAACCCTTGGTCAAGGGCAGGACAGGATCCCCACATGGCTCCTGGTGCTGCCCCTGCTCTGCCCCACTGCCCTCCCCAGGATTTACTCTATGTCCCTTACAAGATTTTAAGTGATATTAAATATTGTACATTTCTTACAGAAAGGAAATTCACTCACCGGACCCATACAAGCTGCAGGAGGAAGCAGACAACAGGATATACACAGGGTTTCACACTTCCCCTCGCTTTCCGGATGCACACGTTGGGGGTTTTGGGGCTACCTTCAAACTCCACCCCCAGTGCTTGAAAACATTAAGGAGCAGAAAAAAAGTGAAAAAGGGGAAGAAGGAAAATTAGGTCCATTTGGCTGCGAGAAGGTTAAGGTTAATTTAGAGCTTGGTTGTGATTTTTGGACCTGGTGGAGGAGCCCAGCAGTGTCTCTGCAGCCCCACAGCAGCCGGGAGCTAGTGGGGAGCCAGGGATGAGGGGAAGGTAGGTTTGGGGGACTTTGAGTGTCGAGACACCCAGCTGTGCCCTGTCCCTCTGCCCTGTCAACTTGGAGGCCTCAGAATTCCCGGGGAGGACGTGTCCCCTGCTGTCCCCAATGTCCCATCCACCTCCATACACAAAAGAAGGCCTGCGGGGGGGTGCCCAGCCCCAGTTCAGCTCCTAGCTGTGGAGCAGCAGCAGTGAATCACCATTGTAATAAATCCATCTAAAATAGCTGCAGGATGGGAAATTCCCTTCCACGGTCATACGTTTCCTCTTCTGCTGCAACTAAAGGTACTCTGGGACAAAGATGCTCCCACTCATGGACCCAATAATCCCCCATATAAGCAAAAAAAAATACAGCTGCCTTCACCCAGTGCCCAACTGGGAAGGGAATTGGGTACAGAAAAAACAGTTTTCTTAAGAAAAGTGTCATGTGGCACAGGAGGATGCTCACGGTGAGTACGGTGTCAGGCAGAGCCCAGGGGATGCAAAGGATTCCGGGGTTGCAAGAGGTTCCAGGGGGTCCAAGAGGGGTTCCTGGGGGTTGAAAAGGGTTTCAAGGGGATCCAAGGGGTAACAAGGGGTTCAAGGTATTCCAAGCGGGGTTCTGAGTGCTACCGAGGGGATCCAAAAAGATCCAAGAAATACCAAAGGATTGGAGGGAATTGGAGTGGGTTCTGAGTGGAATCTGAGGGGATCCAAGAGGTGCCAAGGGGTTCCAAGGAGTTTCAAGGGGATCCAAAAAGATGCAAGAGGTTCAAGGAATCCAAGGGATCCAAGGGGATTGAAGAGGGTCAGAGGGGATCCAAGAGGTTCCAGGAGGAACTCAAGAAGCTCTAAGGGGTTCCATGGGACTTCCAAGAGGTTCCAAGGGGATCCTGGAGGGTCCATGACGGTCCAAGAGTTCCCTGGCCCCTGAGCATGGTTTGCCCGCAGGCAGCAACTCACTCACTACCCCCCTGCCTAATCCCCCACCAGGGGGGAGAGAAGAGGGAGAAAAGAAGGGGAAAACACCTCGTGGATTGGAATAAAGACAACAGTTACAGACAACAGTTACTAGAGAAAAAAATAACATTATTAATTGTAAAAAAATACACAAAATACAAGGATACAGCACGAGTTGCCCTTCAGAACCTGAGGACTGATTGCCCAGCCCAGCCCCAGCAGTGATGGAGGGTCCCAGCCCCCCGGCAGCCCCTGTTTCTATCCCCAACACAACATCAGTGGGGTAGAATATCCCTTTAGCCACCTCGTCCTGACTGCGCTTCCTCTCAGCTTCGAGAGAAAGCTGGAAAGGCCCCTGACTGATGTGAACATTTCTCAGCCATGTATATAATCCTGTGTGATCAATGGCATTCTCACACTAAATCCTAAACGGAGCAGGTGCTAGAAAGAAAATTAACTCCATCAAAGCTGAAACGAGGACACCCCCCACTGCCTGGAGCCTCCCAACCCCGGGGGGGCGACCCCACAGCAGCCTCTGTCCCTCAGTCCCCCTCTGGTCCCTGGGCGGGGACAGGACAGAGAGGGACATCTCCTACAGGGTCGAGGAGAGGAGAGTGGGGAGTCTCTGGAGAAGGACACGGTCTGCCGGACTCTGTGGTGGGGGCTGAAGTGGGGCTGAGGGTCTCACGGGTGCTGCCCCTGAGGCACAGCTGGGTTTTCCACGTTTCCACCCAAAACCAGGGCCGCAGGGTCTCCCCATGGAATGAGGCTGGTGGGAAACTGAAGATCTCGACCCCGGTGTCAGCGTTGAGAAACATCACCAGCCCCTGTGTGCAGTCCAGACAGACCCAGATCCTACTGGGGACCAGGGATTTGGAAAGGACGGTGAGAGGAGAGGTGAGAGCCTCTAACTTCCTTTTCCAGTGCAAAACTGCCCAGACACCTACTTCAGGGCTCAGGAACTCATTCCTCTTCCTCTCCACGGACTCCTTGGCCACTCCAACACCCCACCATGAATCACCTCCCACCTCCCCCTTCACCTCCACCTCCCAGCAGTGCCTCCCCTCCCGGAACATCTCCTGACCCAGCACACAGCGCCAATAACGAAATCTCTCGGGGGTGTCGGGCAGGTTCTGCCACATGGGTCCACATTTCACATGTTTCAACTCCTCCGACAGGACAAGTCCAGAATGAGCCGTGTTTGGATCCAGGGTCACCACGTCTGCAGGGGACAGGAGAAGCAGGAGCATCAGCGCTCAGTCCTGAGCAGCTTTCACCCCCCCAGTGCCAGGATGTGCACCACAGGGCAGGAGAGTGAGCATCTCCTTCCTCCTCTCCAGCCCCACCACAGGGCTGGCCCCAGCACGGACACAGCCAAGCTCAGACCCTTGGGAAGAGGCACTGGTGGGGTCTTGGAGGGAGATGGTGCTTCTGGGCTCCAGAATGTAGTTCAGAATGGGGTGGAATGGCAAGAAAATGGGGTGAGATCCATCCCAGTGCCAAGGTCTGGGAGGTATTGGCCACCAACACACTCAGGCATGGCCAGTCCCTTCACTGCATCCAAGTTACACCACTCACAGAGGAAAAGGGAGAAGAAAAATACAATCAAATACCCAATTACCTGGATTTTCAGGAAGCAGAAACTTTCTCCAAGCTACAAGGAGAGAGAGGAGCAGGTCACATCCCACCACTGGTCCCCAGGGACTGTGGGAATGGTAACGGGGCCATCCCTGCTCTAGCAAGGGAGGAAAGGGCAGAGCACAGGGAGCACAGGAGAGGACATTAAGCCAGGAGGAGCTCACAGAGACTCACCCAGTGTTGAAACTTGTTTCCCTGGAAAGGAAAAACAGAAGCAATGAGTGATGAAAAGGGACAGCTTCGCACCCCATGCCGAGCAGGCAGAGGTCAGGCTGAGCCCAAATTTCTTCTGTTTGGGGAATGGGAAAAGCCACCTTGGCTTACAAGGGGGCTCCCTGCCCTCCTATCCCCACCCCAGCCCACCCAGGCATTTCACAGTTACACCTGACTTAAGCAGAGACATAAGGCTCAGCTGATTTAAGCTCATTTTGCAAAAGCAATATGTGGTCAGAGAGGACAGCTTCTCATCCCAAAAGTGCTCAAGAAGGAGCATGCAGGGCTGGGGAATCCCCAAATTCCTCCTTTTTGGTTAGTGGGAAAACATTCCTGGATCCCAGGGATGGCTCCCTCCAGCCTGGTCATGTCCCGTGGCTGGTGCCCAGGGACTCTGGGCAGGGGAGAGGGCCATCCCTGGTCCGGTGTCCCCGAGTTGCCCAACCCCCCAGGCACCTCCCTTGGGCAGGCCCGCACCCAAGGGATGTAGGGATGGAGGGGATGGGGAAGGGGCCCAGCACAGAGGACCCGGGAGGGGACACCAAGCCAGGAGGAGCTCACAGAGACTCACCCAGTGTTGAAACTTGTTTCCCTGGAAAGGAAAAACAGAAGCAATGAGTGATGAAAAGGGACAGCTTCGCACCCCATGCCGAGCAGGCAGAGGTCAGGCTGAGCCCAAATTTCTTCTGTTTGGGGAATGGGAAAAGCCACCTTGGCTTACAAGGGGGCTCCCTGCCCTCCTATCCCCACCCCAGCCCACCCAGGCATTTCACAGTTACACCTGACTTAAGCAGAGACATAAGGCTCAGCTGATTTAAGCTCATTTTATACTGCTCCCCGCTTCTTCCCATGAGCCAGGACACTTCCTGTGCCCAGTTCACAACCCAGGGCTCGCCAGGCCCCTTCTGGGCTCTAGCAACACACATCAGTGACCAGAGAAACATCAAGAGCCATTCAAAGCCACCTCCCTCCCAGGGGGCTCCTTTCTCAGGAGGCTTTGCTGGTGGCAGGGGCCAGAAGGACTCACCCAGTGCTCTGGACTGCACCACTGGAAAGGAAAGGCAGAAAAAGAAGAGGTCAGGAGAGCAGCTGCTTCATCCCTGGCACCATCTCCCCAGGGTGTTTTGACCTTCCCACCAGCCAGATGCTCTGCCCGTGCTCCCTATTCTCCCACCCACACCCTGTGTCTTCTCCCCATCCTCCCTTTGCCCAAAGAGCTTCTTTCATGAAGGCAAAACCTGTTCTGACACAACTCTGATCCCATTCTGTGTATGTCCATGGGCCTCGCTCCACCCTGAGGCCCCTCCACTCCATCCCCCCAACTACAATCTCACCTTTCCTTTGGAAGAGATAAGCACTGACAGCAAAACAAATCACTAAAAGCAGGAGGAGCACACCCAGAGCTGCCATCCAGGGACGGGCATTGTGGAAAAAGGGAGCTGAGAAAAAAAAACACATCGGGAAAAGGCCTCATTTTACATTCCCCTGTGTGAGGAGAAGAAAGAAATCCAAACAACCCGAAACTACCAGCTGCTAAAGCCTCATGCTGGGAGCTGGGAGCTGAACACCCTCCTCCCCATCCCATGGCCACCCCAAAGCTCCCCTGAAGCACACCAGGGTCACGTTATCTCCTGCAATAAAACTCACCTGCGGGTGCACCCCCGTCCGCTTCCCTCTCCACCTGCATGTTTCTCCAGTCCCATGAGATCAAACCCTCCCCAAGCAGCACGGCCAACCCCAGCCCTGCTGCCACCCCGTACCTGAGATGTGCAGGATTGACACCTGCTCCTGCTCCAGGCGGCTGTTCCTCACCACGCACGACACATTCCCATCTCCCTTCCTGCTCACAACGATGACATCTTGGATCTCAAAGAGGCCCCTCTCATCAGGGGAACGTGTCTGGGAGACCGAGGGGAGATGCTGCCCGTTGGCACCCTT